CACTCGCCACATTGTGTTTATTGTCGGTTGTCTTGGTACTGTTGGCTCCATGATGGCACAGGCGAGGCTCCTGGCTCATACCCGTATTCAGGAGAGTTAGGACAATAGCTGGTGTGTGGCAGGCACAGTATGTTGAGTGAAGGAGGGAATAGATGAGAGACTATACATGTCTACACATTCAAGAAACCATTGAACAAAGACCAGGCTGGGGCCTTGAGTGGAAGGAATGGAGAACACCTTCATGTTCACTCATTATCTATAGTGAGCAACTCTCTGGGCTGGAAGCTTCACATAATTTCATTGAATTCCCATGATAACCCCAGGGTGGGAGGTGTGTGTCTCAGGTTGGGTTCCCAGAAGCAGACTCTGGAGTGAGGATTTGTGTGACAATGATTTATTAAGAAGTGTTCCCAGGGGAATTAAAAAAAAAAAAGAAAGAAAGAAAGAAAGACAGCAGGGGAGTGGGAATGTGGCAGGGAAATGAAGGAAGCCAGAGCTGGTGCGCTAGCAATGAGGCAGTTTGGGCTCAGTCCATGGAGAAATTCTGTAACCAGCAGAGCTCACACTTGAAGCAGTCCCCATCTGGGAACAGGGCATCTGGGACTTGTATATGTGACACTCTCTGTCCTTGGTGAGGGGTGTAAATTCCCAGGCACAGTGAGTGCTGTGCAGGGTTCCGGCAGCCTGAGCCACGGGTGTCTGCCGTTGGGCGTGAATGCACACAGGGAGCCAGTGTGCTCAAAAACCCTAATGGGATTCAGGGGGAATGTGGGCAGAGCATCGATAGCACTGTTGGCATTCGAATGCCTTAAAGGCGTGGAGCTGCCGCTCAGGGAGGTGGAGTAGCTCAGCCAGCGGCCCGCAACCAAGCAGTGCCAGAACTGGGATCCGAACATGCTCTGCCTGCCTGCTTCCCCCTTACCCTGCTGGCCCTGCCACGGAAGGGAGGACTCAGCTGCACCTGCTGCAGACATGGCTGAGGAGGAAGAGGAAAGGATAGCACTTAGACGGGGAATTAGTGGTGCTGCGAGGGGCACTGCCCACTGGGCTGTGAGCATTTAGGGCTCTTCCCACAGAGCTGGCAGCTCACCAGTAACTAGGGGGTAGGGGGGGAGGTGTTCTTTCCAAATCTGCAGTAGCTTCTCCTTCTTACAGTCTAGCTCAGCTTCTGGGTGAGTTGCATCCTCTGGAAAAGACTACAGCAAATGCTATTTATCTCTGTGTGGGGAAAAGAGGCTTAACAAATTAGCTGAGCTTAATTGATGAGGAAAGTAGGACAGAAAAGTTGGCCAGTTGTCCTGTGGGGTTTTCTGATCAATTCTCTCCATCAGTATATTTCATGTATGAGTCTGAGACCAGGTGGAAAAACTCCTGAGGGTAGCCAGGGTCCCACCTGTTCCCTGGGATGTCCCAGCAGCTGTGGCAGGTCCTCTGCACTGCTGGCTCTGTGGGTACACAGAGGACCGTTCTCCTGCACAGGTGCACCTGTACCTTCAGATTCACAGAACCAAACATTCTGGAGCAGTGTTCCCAGCTGCAGAGGCCAAGAGTCAGGGTCAGAGCTCTGAAATAACACAGGACTCAGGCATATCACCATTCCCAGTGAATTAGGATCCCAAGGAATTGGGCCCCAAAGTCTACATTTGTTAAAAATACATCTTTTTAAAAATTTTTAAAGGTTTTTATTTGAGAGAGAGAGAGAGAGAGAGAGAGAGAGAGCAAGTGGGGGAGGGGGAGAGAGCGAGGGAGACAGATTACCAAGTAGGCTCCATGCTGTCAGCTCAGAGCCCCATGCTGGGCTCGAACTCACAAACTGTGAGATCATGACCTGAGCCAAAATCAAGAGTCAGATGCTTAACCAAATGAGCCACCCAGGTACCCCTCAAGGTCTTCACTTTTAAAAGCTCCCTAGGAGATTCCTACATGCAGCCAGACTTGAAAATCATTGCTTTGGAATGTCAGTGTGTGATTAAGTCTTGCCTTTTGCCCATGGTCAGCTTCTATGCTGATGCTTAAATACCTTTCAGGGACACGCTGTTCACCTTCCACTCAGGCACTTCCCCTGATGAGACCTCACTGCTCCTGAGGCAGCCCCATTCCATCTTGAACTACTTGGAAAATCAGAAAATTCTGTCTTACATAGTGTTGATACCTGCCTCCCAGATTACTGGAGACCTTGGTCCTAAATAAACTCTGAGAGGCTGCAAAGAGCAATTCCAGTCTCTCTTGCCCATGACAATTCTTCATGTGCCTAAAGACACCTATACTTTCACTGGCCTACTCCGTGACCAAGTCTAATTTGTGGTGTCCTCCATTAAGTGGTGTAGCCCAGTAGTCAACTCCCGGCCCCAGCAGTGTTTCTTCTAAGTCTCCTCTCCCCAGTTGCCCTTCTGTTCCTGGAAACCCAGAGCAGGGCTTTGAGTGCAGCTTGTTAATCTACATCTCTTTAGATTCAGTTCAGTGTTCCAGTGTTCTGGAACCTATAAGTTCCCTGATAGTTACCTCCTCTGAGGATCTGAGGCTCCTCAGAGGGCAACTGGCCCTTAAGTCCTCATAGCTTCTAGGGAGAGGGCCTGGTTTGTGGAGTTTGTAGAATGGGGAGAAAGTATCTTTGGGACATGGCCTCACAGGAGTTTGGTATCTCTGGAGATCCTTTCTTTCAGGGGCAGAACAGAGAAGACTTGGAGCCTCCTTCCTGAGGTGGGGGATGGAGCAGCCTAGGAGGGGAGAGTTTTGTGGGGGCACGGCTCATAAGGAGGAGGACTTGTGTGGCTCCAGAAGACTTCTAGGTTCCAAGAATGTGATGGATCAAGGAATAAGGGTGGAACCTACAAAAGGTGGGGGATGGCCACTTCCCTTCTCTGCTTTGTGAAAAAGGCTTGGGATTTGTATGGACGCCATTTTGTGTTTGCTGCTTCTTGAGATTGAGGACTGAAGATATTGGCTGACAAGAGGAAGCAAGCATTATATATGTCTTATAGATGAACAAACTGAGACCAAAGGGGTTAAATGACAGCTGGTGGAGGCAGTCCTTTCCAGCCCAGTCCAGACTCCCATCCTAATTTGTCTTCGCAGGGGCTGGCACCCTCTCCCTTCTAGGCTGGAGAAGGGGAGTTTGTGTCTTTAACCCCCAGATGGCCCAGAAAGACCCCTGTGCCCACCATTGGTGTCCTGTGGGAGCTTTCCGTAAAGGACTGGGATGCTAGAGCTGGGACACTCGCACAGGCTCTATTTCCACATGCTTGTGCTGGCCAACAAACGTGTCCATTCTTTGTGTGGATGAAGTTTTAACAGAAGCCCGTGCACAGACAGTGCAATGATGTACCTCCCACATATAGCTGGGTTGCTGGTGCAGGCAGGCTCTTTAGCCCTCTATGCCTCATGGTTAAGGAGAAAGAGTCAGAGCTCTGTGTACTGATGAGGAAAGATATTCTTGATATATTGATAAGTAAAAAAATGATAGTTGTAACCTGATGCATATTTCGTGATCTCATTTAAATAAAAACATCTGTCTGATATGGGTACATAGATATGTACTTGCAGATGTGACCACAACCTTCTAGAAGGGGACACCTTAAACAATCTCTGGAGGATAAATGCGGAGGGGTAAATGGGACATTTCACCATTTAGCATATTTTATTTTATCTTTTAAAGTTTATTTTTTAAAGTTTGAGAGAGAGAGAGAAAGCGTGCGCATGTGAGGAAGGGGAGGGGCAGACAGAGCGGGAGAGAGAGAATCCTAAGCAAGCTCTGTGCTGCCAGCATGGAGCCTAACATGGAGCTCAAACCCACGAGCCCTGAGATCATGACCTGAGTTGAAATCAAGAGTCGGACACTTATCCGACTGAGCTACCCAAGCACCCCATTTAGTACATTTTTAAAAAGGGGGCAAGGTTATGGGATGATTTTGAACATTTTTACTTCTCTGTGTTTTTTTTCAAATAAAAAAGAGTAATAAAAATTACATCACAAAAATACACGCAAAAAAGTAAAAATAAAAGAGGACTACAATCTGACAGTTCTCTCCCACGTTCATAGGTGGCCTGGCACAGTGCCTGGTACTCAGCAAGTACTTGACACATGCTAACTCTGAGAGCTCTCACAGGACATGCTTGACAATGATCAGTTCCTTCTCTCTTTTCAATCTGATGGCTTTCCAGTTAAAGGAGGATAAAAGCACCCAGAAAACATATGAGAAACGAAATAAGGAACCCTTATTTTCACTCTCTTCCACTTCCTTCACGTATTCAACAGCAATATTCACTCATATATTGAACACTATGTGCCAATTAAAGGGTAAGGTTCTGGGATACCACGCAAGATGTGGTCCCTGTCGTCGTGGAGACCCCAACTTGGTGAAAGAGATAGATACTACGAAATAAATAAGCTGCTAATATTCAAGCACAGAAATAGCACGTGCTATAAAGAAACAGAACAAATTGCTATAAGAGAGAATGATGGGAGTAGAGTCATTGCCCAGAAGCAAGAAAGAGCCAGTTCTATGGGTCCTTTATGGGTTCTTTAGAACTGAAGGCAGCTCAGAACCCCAGCTGTGAGCTGCTGTTCTCCCAGGTGTCATTCATTGCAGCTGGACAAGCTGCCATAAATCCCTCATTCCAGATTTCGGATTTTTAGCCTCTGGCAGTCATGAGAATCATCCCCCTAAGCTCCCCTTCAGAAAAGCATTTGCAGTTACTTTTTCGAGAGGGGAGAGGAAAGCCCTCACCTTTGGTGGCCCTGTGATGCCTGTAGGAACCAGAGCTTCGACCTTGCTGAGGGCTAGTGCATAAGAGCTTGGAAAACAGCAGGAAATCAGATATCTGTGTTCAAATGATGCGTCTTGTAGCTAAGGCAGCGAAAGCTCAGGGGATGGCATGTTTTGTTAAGAAAAAAATCTCCAAGAACAATGTTTATCAAACCCCGTCTCGGCAATCATCTTGCGTGTCTACCAGCTTCTGGCTTGCTTCTATTCATGTTTGTTTTCTTTTTCTTTCTGCAGGCCGTAGAGACCAATCTGGCTTCCAAGGACAGCCACTGGGTCTTTGTGAATGAGGTAAGAGCCCCAGAGTGGGAAGGGGTGCAGCCTGCACTGAGCCCCCAGCCCCTTGAGAAAGCTCAGTGGGAAGCTGTTGGGGCCAATTCTGACTTGGGATGCTGGAGTGAATTCCAGGACCCCACCATGCAGCACAGGGTCTCAGAGAGTTGGACCTGACCTGCCAAGATGCTCAGGGGAGCAGGTGAGAACCAGGGAAAGAGTCAAGATTGGAGTACATGAAGTCAGAAGAGAAGTGGTTTCAGGCATTAGATGTGCAGAGTGAGGAGAGACAGCCGGTCAGGGGGTTGGGGGCTGGAGAGATTGGGGCAGGTTAGAAGATGGGATGGAGAGGGAGTGGGGCAGAGGAGTGAGGGGGGATGGAGGAGGCTGCATTTCATGCAGGAGTTTGCAGTTCTGTGTGTTACATGACTTTGAATGTGTGTATGTATGAGTGCCTGCATGTGGGAGTGTATGTGAAAACACGTATGTCAGCATATGTGACAGTGTAGATGTATATGTGTGTGAGTGTGTACGTGTGTGCACACGCCCCTGGACCTAGTGGGGGCAAGAATCAGTGTAGCCATTTAAAGCGGGTAGATGAGAAGTCTCTCCCATGACAGGCCATCCCACTGCTTTGGGTGCTGGGAAGAAGGGGAACACCAAGTTTTCACTGTGGCCCAGTCCTCTCTTCGGCTGTTTTACCTGCCTGGCTCTGACCTCCTCCACACTGCAGACATTCCAAGTGAGTGGTCTTTAACCACATGCCCATTCAGGAAACACCACCAGGGCAGCCTGTGTGACCCCAGCATGCTGTTAACAGAGCTGATTCCGGAAGACGGTTCCTGGTGCATGCTTTCATCAGGGCTTTGGCCTTCAGCTTCTCCTAAATTAACCGATCAATTTCTAATGGCCTCATTCTAGAAGATGCAAGGTTTATTATAGAGGTAATTTATTCTTTTATGATGTGTGTTTCTTCATTAGCTCAGTGCTCTATGGCTGGAAGAGTTTTGGGTGGCTTATTTTAATAATTTTGTAGGTAGTATCAGATAGTAACTTTTGCAAGGCCCACTTTTCATGGCTTTCCTCCATAAATTCACATCTTATTAGCTCTACCCGGGCCTGTTGGACAATGCAAATTAACTGTCCATTTACGTCGGGTTGTGGCTGGTTGTGCTGCTAATTAGAAGGGACATGTTGGCCACCTCCCCATTCTTCAGAGCCTGCTGGAGTCCTCCTTGGTCCTAGGAAGTTTTGATCCTTTGGGCTTTGTCATCTTCTCTATGGGTTCTTCAAAGTCCGGTTTTCTTTGTTCCAGAGAAGGGATGCATTTCATGTGCCTCTTAAGGCAAATGTCTGGTGCTGGCTTGAATATTTTGGTGACTCCTCCAAACTGAATCGTCAGTGTTCCTCTGTTGTCAGTCTTCAAAAAGCACTCTGATTTTGCATCTTTAACCTGTATGCTTTTTTCTCCTCTGCATCCTGACTCACCTCCAGGGTCCTCTGTCCCTCCTGAGCCCCTCTTCATGGCTAGGAGTGACTTCAGAATGGTTAGTGCTGAAGTGCCCACAAGGGCATTGCTGGGGCAGCTGGACCCCAGGACTTACTTAGGTCACCAGGAGTAGTCAGGCTGACAGATGTCAGCCACACTAGAACAGCCTCACCCAAGGGGATAGCTATGCCCCACGACAGTCAGCAGCACATTGTGGGCCGGGTCACACATCATGTGAATATCCCCAGGCTAAGTGTATCCTCCTCCAGAAGTGATCTCCTTTCTTGGCTTCCTTTTCTATAGGAGGCTATTCTTCTTGAGAATGAAAGGGTAACACCTACCATTTCTTATTTATTTATTTTTATTTTTTTATGTTATTTTTTTACTTTTATATTTGAGAGAGAGAGAGAGACAGACAGACAGACACAGCATGAGTACAGGAGGGGCAGAGAGAGAGGAAGACACAGAATCTGAAGCAGGCTCCAGGCTCTGAGCTGTCAGCATAGAGCCTGACGTGGGGCTCGAACTCACAAACCTCAAGATCGTGACCTGATCATGAGCTGAAGCTGGATGCTTAACCGACTGAGCTAGCAGGCATCCCTTACTTATTTAATTTTTAAAGTTTATTTATTTATTTTGAAGGAGAGAGAGAGAGAAAGCACACGTAGGGGAGGGGCAGAGAGAAGGCTAGAGAGAGGATCCAAAGCAGGCTCTGCACTGTCAGCTTGGAGCCCGTTGCAGGGATCAATCTCATGACCGTGGGATCATGACCTGAGCTAAAATCAAGAGTCCGAAGTTTAACCAACTGAGCCACCCAGGCACTCCAACACCTACCATTTCTTGATCACCTATTATATGCCAGGCACTTGTCAGAGTGTTTTATATTTGGGACCATCCTTAGACCTCATCAACAACCCTATATGACAGTTATTATCATCCCCATTTTACAGTTGGGAAAGGGCAGGCCCAAGAGGTTAAATCACTTGCCCAAGGTCATACAATGATTAAATGGTGCATTTGGGATTCTGTATGAAGACTGACTACAAAGCCATTTCTACCAAATGACACTATTATGCATACGGCCCTGACAAAGATCCTTAAACTATGGTCAAGGTCTGATTCAGTGAGGCCAGTAGGTAAGACTCAGGTATGCACACTTATGGAGACACTCTTGGCTTTGGTGTCAGCTCATGTACATTCTTGAAGTCTGTGATCTGGAGGTATGTCGTCGTATAAAGCTTTGACCCTTAGGTCCCAGTGTGGCCTTTGGTTAATGAGCAAGCTGTTCTCTCAATTGTATGTAGATTTACCCTTAGGATACAGCCATATTCAGAACTGCTGTTTCCTGTTACATAATGGCCCCACTGGAAACAAAAGTCCTATTATTCTTATGATAGTTGTATCATTCTAGACTCTATCTAAATACAGAGCCACAGACAATGTTTACCAGTTGCTTTTCTGTTTGTCGTATGTGATGGATAGGATAAAATAAAGTGGGAAGAAGAGAAGCAGGGGAAGGCATTTGGTGGTTCCGACATGGTCTCCAGAATTCAGCAACAGTATCGGGGCCCCATCTTCTCATTTCCTGAGCTGCTCCCTACTTCTTTAGAAGCAAGTTCAGTTTTTTTGACAAACTCAGGTTGGTGCCTCTTCCCCTCATGTCTTTCCCCCAAGGAGGCCTGCACCGTGGTCCCCAGCTCTGCCCCTGCTCCCTCATTCCTCACAGGCTGTGTCTTCTAGTTTCTCCCTCTATATCTGACTTCCTTAATGTATTTTCCTGGATTCAAGATAAACACTCAAAGGCACATAATTTTGTTTTGTTTTGTTTTTTCCTTAATCTGGTGGTTTTCTTAATACATATACTCCTTCACTGGTGAATATTGGTGTTGTATAGATGAGGTCTATTTCATTTGGAGAAGGGGTAATTGGATGCAGAGAAAGGCTTGTGAGCATGTGAGCCTCACTGATAGTTTTTAGATTTTGTAGGTCTCTGGGCTTGACTGTGGGAACACTGGCAAGCAGATGTACTTTTGGGTCTAAACTATATTTTCATTGATTATTTAAATTATATGTTAGTTTGGAGGAGGGTGGGGGATTCAAAAGAACCTGTGGAAAGCAAATTGAACCAGTTGTCAAGGTGGCCACTAGGTCATGAGTCCCTAGAAGACATGGTCAGAATTTAGCTAATCACTGAATCCTAGTGCCCTATGCAAAGAGTAGGTTCTTTTCTTTTTTAAGTTTATTTAATTATTTTGAGTGAGAGAGAGAGAGAGAGAGAGAGAGAGAGAGAGAGAGAATGATAGCACATGTATATATGCTTGAGGGGAGGTTGGGTGAGGCAGAGGAGAGAGAAAGAGAGAGAGAGAGAGAAAGAGAGAGAATCCCAAGCAGTCTCCCTGGTGTCAGCACAGAGCCCTACATGGGGCTTGAATTCATGAACTGTGAGATCATGACCTGAGCCGAAATCACGACTAGGACACTTAACCAACTGAGCCACCCAAACATTCCCCAAAGAGTAGGTTCCTAATAAGGTTTGGTTGAAGGCAGGTTGGTATACTTAGGATAGAGCAAGTTCCTTTGAAGAACATTTCTCAGTAGGCCTTCGAGGAAAGACAAAGGCAACAATTAAACTCGAGGCTTAGGGATGGAGAGGACTAGTCTGGGTCATTCACCAGAAGTTGCCAGTTGAGGACCAGTCACACATGGCTCTGGATGAGCTAGGTAGCTTCCAGAACCTCTTCACTAGCTGGTATGGAGTGTCTCTTCTCCATATGGCTTTCAGCAGATCCCAGGTGAGCCAGTGTGCAGGACAGGTGTCCTCAATGCCAGGTGGAGTCTGAATGCAGAAGAGAATGCCCTTTCCATGAGGATCCGTCTTTTGGGAACTTTTTGGAGGAAATTCTTTTATGGAATATATATATATAATTTTCAGCATCTTCCGGAACTAAGTGTGATGGGACTTGGAGTGCTCTGTTTGTTGCTGAACAGCTCAGACTGTTAGAGTAGTTCTTCCAGACATGCACCCAAAGCATGTTTTGATGGGAATGGTTTAAGATGTTTAGAAAGCAGTTCAGAAGCTCATATATAACCCTTGTTCTTAGGTTTCTCAGTGAGTGAGGCTCTGGGCTGTGTAGGTGGAAGAGACAGAATTGGCAGGCACCCCTGCCACATTTCCAGCAGACGTCAATGACCACCACATCCCATGCCCATTTCAGAACTTGTGTCTGAGCTCCAGACTCAGAGGTCCAGATGCCTTCTAGACTCAGCTGCTTGGAAGCCTTGTGACCACTTCCAGCTCAGTGCATCTCTCCCTAATGCTCCCTCACTCAGCGTTCCATTCCCAGGGGCCCATGTCTCCACCCCTCTGGTTGGCTTCCTACTCAGTGAAGAAAAGCCAACATCATGGACCCTGCCTCAGAACCTGTCTAGGATGACCCTGACTGCACCTGTACACCTTCATGTACTTCTTACCCTTCTACTCACTCTCCCATGACTCATCCCTGCAAGCAGAGGAGTGACTTGTTTTCTC